ACCCACCGCCAACTCTTGGGCTACTCTTTTAACAACGAATAGTGGGGTTGACCGTCACATTATTATGCCCCCACGGCCGAAAGGGCGAGCATGTTTGGTGTGACGGGGATTCGAACCCGCAGATTGCGAGTCGAGCGCCCTAACCACCTGGCCATGCCGGGTCCTCTTTCTTCTCTCTTTCGCACCAGTATGGCGGCAGGAAGCGACGCAAAACGACAATGAAACAAAGTTAGTTAATAAACTATAAAAATTCAGAGAAGCTATTTCAAGCTAATACATGTTGACCTAATATAAATTCATACACAAACTAATTAGGCTCTCTTTTCTTTTCTTTTCAAATTCAGTAATTTCATAAGTCATCCCACCATTAGTTTCTCAGCTTCACCTTTTCCCTCACTTCAAGCAGTGGTATCATCTGATAACTGCTTCTTTTAAGCATAAATACACGAAGTTGAACTACACCAAAATGAACGAGATACGCTTCTCGAGCTAAACACAATCTTATCTTATGGAAGGATTTATGAAACAAGTACAATATCAATCAAGTTGAATCTGTAATATTTATTTGTGATATAGTATTTGAAAAACGTCCTTATTTAATCAGATTTGTTTGTATAAATAGAGTGGTGATATGTTTATAATAAAAGTTGCTTATCACAAGTTATAGTGGTTCAAACCCATTTCAGAAGTAATTCTGTCGCTGAGGTGGGCTGGCATGCAACAGAAGCTCAGTTGAAACATTATTTATATCAGTCGTTTAAAGATATCAGTATCGTAAATAACGCCAGCGAAGATAACGCCAGATATATATCTGTGGTACACTGAGCAAAGGGACTCCTCGGCAGTGTCATGTGGTACGCAAGATGCTATAATAATAACTAGTGTGTTCTTTTTACTGGAAATCCGAACGGGACCAGTGAATATAGCATTTGTTAAAAATCAGCATCACACAAACTATCGATCTCTCTCGGCAAAAGCGCCCCACGGTGGCTCAGTGGGAAGTTTAAAGGCTTATAGCGTTAAAACTCGGTTATTCAAGAATATCTAAATACGATAAATTAAACAAATGATACTACATTATTAAAACAAATTAGCCAACAAACACTTCACACCAATACTGCCGAACATTATGATATTACATTATTAAAACAAATAGCCAACAAACACTTCACACCAATACTGCCGAACATTATGATATTACATTATTAAAACAAATAGCCAACAAACACTTCACACCAATACTGCCGAACATTATGATATTACATTATTAACACAAATAGCCAACAAACACTTCACACCAATACTGCCGAACATTATGATATTACATTATTAAAACAAATAGCCAACAAACACTTCACACTAGTACTGCCGAACATTATGATATTACATTATTAACACAAATAGCCAACAAACACTTCACACCAAT